GGGCATTATGGAGCGACGTCCTGACAGGAAGAACAAGTCCCGAGGCGGGCCGCACAGCAGCCCAGTAAAACTATTAAAGACTGTGCTCACTGCAGCAAGAATACAGCAGCTGCACAGTCTGATACCAAACACTGGTCCCCACAAGCCTTTCAGATACCGAGGCACGACGGGGACGAGGATGAGAAAGGAGCAGTTGCCCTAAAAGGCAACCTGAGGGGGACACCATGGGGTGTCTGGATACAGGAGACAGTGCACAGACTTGAACCTGGATGTAAGAGAAAAGAAGCTTAGAGCAAGATTTACACAAAGTTGTTGAAACTGACATTAATCATGTTATTAAATACAAAGACATCTCTCACCTCGATGGATCCTCCTCCACAGAAAAAGCCCCTTTCAAACTGATGATATTGCTCTTGTTTTCAAACATCCCATAACTGAGGGTGATCTGGAAGAAGAATTACAGCAAAACCATGAACACGTCTCTCACACGATTCATGAAATACACTAGAGCTTCAAAGACTGCAAGGACAATCCGAAGCTCTCACCTGTTTGTGAATCTCAGATCTCGACACTTGCTGCAGGTTCTCCAGGTGGGAGTGGAACAGGTTGCTGCGGGTCAGAGGAACCCCCAGCACCGACTCGATGATGTAGCCGATGGTGCAGTCGTCGGGCAGGCGGATCTTCTCCGCTGTGTTCATGAAGTGGCCGCCGCTGAAAAGGCAGACAATACACAGACATCCCATCAGTGCCGATGCGACATGCCTACCCCAGGTCATAGTGCGCTGATTCGCCATAAATAAACCTGGACATGTTAGGATCATATCAGCTGATTCTATATAGTGTGGTGATTTCATTATGAAAACATATTTCACAAAATGTGGTATTGATTTGACTGAGAAGGGACTTTTTTGCTATGTAATTGTCACAACTGAGGCAGTAAAATGATACAGAGTGTGTGCTAGCATTTCTGTATCTTACCTGGCCCACGGGCTCATCTTCAGCGCTAATCCCCGACTCACACAGAAGCCTGCTCCTCCAGTAGCAAACCAGAAGTTTACTGGTTTCTAAGAGTAGAGAGAAAAGTTTATTATCTGACAAATAGTCTGGGAATATTATGTTCATAAAAAAGACGTTTCTTCTACATACATACCATCTTATTGTCCCCCAGCCTCTCAGTGGCCTCTATGGGCCGGTCCAGACTGGGTTTACCGATGTACATATCCTGGGTGTGAGGGTACTGGGACAAGTACTTCACCAGAGTCTGAACATTCACGTAGTTGTCATCATCAACGTGACAGAACCACCTACGAAGCAGAGAAAAATTATATTATTACATGCTGAGATATTCAAACATTAAAAAAAATCACTAAAAATTAAAGTGTAGGATTCTTACTTTTTCCCTGACTCTATGAAATTGTCATATTCCACCGCCATCTTGCAAGACAGAGCTTGTCGGCTGTGAGCCGCAGAGCAGTTGGTGTTGATTGCATGACTCCCTGTGGCAAAAATGAAAGAAACAGGAGGATGTTTATGTACTTTAATGCCACTTTTCATGAAGGCAAAAAGATCCAAGCAGAGTTTGTATGACCTTTAAAATATAATTTGCTCTCAGTTCAGTTGGCCTTTCATTCTGATAAAACTATGCAGATGTGTATTCCCTACATGAAGCTTACCTATTGTCTCTTTTAGCTCCTCATCATCTCCGTCTGTGAAGATGTAAGTCTGTAAACAAATGGAAAATCACAGATAAACGGCTGTGCTCTTTAAGCCCACTGAGTCAAAGCCACTTTGGCTGATCATGGAGGACGGTCACACAGTTAGCTTCAGCAGTGTGTCCGTCCTCCTCTGAAGCCTGGTGTGATTAGCATCCATCATCGCGTCTTTTATGCAGTGGAAAATGCGTCGAGTTAAACAGCCTCCTGCTCTAATAAAAGCCCTTTGTCCTGCATCTCACTCTCTCCATGGCAACTATGTAGCCGCCCCGAAGCATCCCAGACACAGAACAAAGACAGAAGCAGGCTGTCCACCCCCACACACACCCCATTCATGTCTCCCATCCCCTGGCTGAGCTCCTGCACTCTGCTGGACCTACTACCATGCCTCAACAGGTTGAATACAGATAAATGTATAGCATAAAAATGTTACAGTCAACACAGATTTGACACAATCCTCTTTGTCCTTGTTACGTTATGACTGACTGACTCAAAAGGTTAAAAGAACCACACCACAGGACTTCAGACACTTGTTAATTGTAGCAGTTAGTCATAAAAAAAGTTAACAACAAAGGGCACCTTAGAGGAACACGCTTTAAAGGAGCAAAGGAAGCTCAGACTCCTTTTTATGAAAGCTCAGACAGAGCAGGTGCAAGCTGCTGAACAGTGATAATGAAAAGGCAGCTGGCCCCGGGCTTTGTAAACGCCGGTCATGTGTTTACGCTCCACCTCAGATGAGGCAGAACATCCCGCTACCTTATCTGCTCCACGTGCCTCTACATGCCATATCCTGCTGCCATAACCCTCACTGACAGAGCACTGTTTGTCAGCTATAACCACCGTTGGCTGCCCTGCAACTGCGATTTGTGACATTTATCTATAAGCAGGCTGCTGACTTGACTAGTATCAAAAGAAACATCGTTCTACTCCACTTTTCTTTTCCTGCACAGAAAAGTCTGAACTGTTTACAGAACAAACACTGATGTTGCATCTTACCAAAGCCATGAGCCTGTATTTGTATAAGGAAGGGTGGTGGTTTCACTGGTAAAGGGATCAGAGGCTGGCTGTTTACTAGAAAGCCCATTGAATAGACAGCCTAATCACCGAGGCAGCTGCCAGAGCTGCCAGGGCACTGACAGAAAGAGAGGGAGGACAGAGGAGTAGGTCAGGCTCTCACTGCTGATTAGTAAATCAAAAACCGTGTGTGGCCACTCACCCTCTCTTCACCCCCCCCCCTCCCCCCCCTTCCCCCCCCCCCCCCCCCCCAGGCCACATACAAGGCCAGAGCCTCTTAAATAGAACAATGCCATGAGTTTTCATGCTGGGTAAAGTCTCCACTGGGTAAATTCCAAATATATTTGCCAGCATTTGCATACAGCTGCAGGAGTTAACTAAAGACAAACCTCCCAGGAATTTTTTTCAGTCTTTGTTTCTTAAAAGAACACTTACTTTCATGGAATGCCAGTTCATACTAAAGATAACGTTAGCTTTGTGTGATGCAGAGATAAGAGATGAGGAGACACGGGGTGAGGAGAAGAACAAATAAAGGGAGGAGGGGCTGCACTCTTGACCACAGGGAGGCCTGGCATGGCCCTGTCTGAGCTGAACGCGGTGCCTGGCTGGCTGTCTCCAGCTGCACAGGAAGGAAGGGCATCAGCCCCTCTTTGCATCGACTGCCTCCACCCTGACTCCTTCCCCCTCCTGTCCCAGCCATTCAAAGCACTCTGGACACTCATTCTGACCACTTGTAGTTTATTACTTCATAGTGCACTAAAATCCAGTGCCAGGTTTTTTTTCTTCCTAGATGGTAAAACACTCATTGTTGGAGTGCTGGCTAATTATCATACTCCTAAGACCGGAATGCCTGGCACAACAACATGAAGATGTCAGCGCCTGCTGCCCAGACCCTGACAAAATGATAAAGGCAGCTACTACCTGCTAGTTTTACAAATCAGTTCAGAGACAGGAACAGAAGAAGAGGGTCAAGCTCTCCTTGACCTTATGCAATATTTAAACTTAAATAAGCTGGTTTTGATATTTATAGATGCTTATTGGGTTTGTCAGTTATTAGCTACAAAGTGTACGGATTTACCAAGATGCTAACTGATTGGATTTCTAAAGATTTTTTTTCTCTGAATGGGCTGAAAGATTAAGAAGGCCAAAGGCACTATTGTGTCGACACATCTATCACAGAAATAATGTACCTCCTGTTCTCATGCAAAGAGCATCACATATGAACTCCATCTGCATGCGAGTAAAAAAAGTAAAACTACATTTAAGCCAAAAAGTAACAGCACAGAAATGTTTAAAAATCTACTAATATCTGCTGCATTGTGAATTTTAAAACAGCAGCAGCAAATGTTCATCTCTTGTGTCTACAGCTAGAAAAATAGTCCAGTCTCCACAGATGTTCATCAGCTGAGTGTGAGAATCAAAGCTGAGCATGGAGACTGGCCATATGTACATGGTGGGAACTCAGAGCATCATATGGCTAGCATTAATGCCGTCCTTTGTTCTGTCTCTCCCAACCACCTGGCACCCTTCCTCTAGGAACTCCCTCTTGCATTGTGGTGCTCAGTCTGTGCTTTTTATCCATGCAGCCACCCACCAGCTGCCTGCCTATAAACCCTGCTGTTACCTCTGTTGGATGGATTAACTATCATCATCCAGCACCTTAATTACAACCAATTAGCAAAATCAATTCACATATAAGCAGATGTTGTAAAGCCTGGTTTGGACATTAGCTATGTAGGTAATTCTGTCTAAGTGATTCTGATAGCCAGCAATTTTCCATTATCTATACCGCTTATCCTGTAAAGGGTCGGGGGGAGTGGGGAGACACACTGGGAAGGTCTCCAAAAGATAAACACAGTGTTTAAAAAAAACACTGTGTAACAGCACTTGAGGCAAATTGAAAAAGACTTGCAAAAGGCATATGTGACACCTCTAGATGTAGGATAAAATCAACTTGACTAGTCACTGTTTTCCATACTATAGCTGTGTGAGTCTGTGAGCCTAAAGCAGCTTGGGCTCATGACCACATTTTCATACCTGGCATGCTACTTCCCACCACAAACTTGCCTATAGTTGCACCCCTTTGTCCCAGGCATCCCCTTAACGAAGCCTCCGTTTTCCCATCCCTCCAGTAGGCTTGACCCAGACTCAGCTCCCACGTTCCCATGGTGAGCAGGGACACAAGGGGCTGCGAAAGCTTTTCTTCCCCCTTCAGAAAGACGCTTTGTTAGTCCTGGAAGGGGGACAGCGTTGGAATCGGTGCTGTGAAGCATCCATTGCACAGGGGGCATTCACAAGGACACCCAAAAAGAGGAGGGATATCACTCAGAAGAGAATAAAAAGTGGCAGAACAGAGGAAATTCAGCATGGTTAACTGGGGCTGTGTGATCATTTTAGTGTGTCATCTGGTGACAGGGGAACAATACAGCACTGTAACTATTTATCACACAGGCATCACCTGCTTATTGTTCAGCTCCCCAGCACAAGGATATCAACAATATCAGCCCACAAACAATCAGATCATTTCCCAAAACCTACACTGTCAGCTTCTTCATGCACAGTACTGTAAACAGTTGCAGAAGTATATCAATCGAATTACACATGGCTGATATCAAGAATCGATTTTGCACTTTTCCTTTACCTGTTGCATGTTTCTAGAGATCCATGTGTCCAGGAGCAGATTCAGTCTGGACTGGTGGAACTTCTTGGTGGTCTTCACAGCGATGAAGATGTCATCCGCGCTGATGTCCTCAGCTGGAGGCGCGTCAGCGGCGGATGCAGAGGAGCCTGCGGGCTTCTCCACCTCCCTCCGTGCCCGAGTCAGTTTGGTAAAGTACGCCGAGAATCCCTTCTTAACCTGCGAGTCCCCGAGTTGTGCGTTCTCCTCCTCCGGCGCGGAATCTTGGAGAAGAGAGCGCGTCCCGGTGTTCTCTCCATCTGTCACCTCATCCACCTGAGCCCGATGATGCTGCACAGCGAGGAGGAGTAGCAGCAGGCAGAGACACGCTGTGCTGGCTACAGAGAGAGCTGCCTTTTTCCCATTATTTTTCAACATGATTAAAACTAAAACTTACTAAAAGTAAAGACTATAAGCGGCGGAAAAAATCCCCACAACAAAGTCCATACGTTTTTTTTCTCAGTAAATCAATAAACACAAGAGAATGTATGTAAGGTCCGATAGGATGCGCAGCCGAATGGCAAATAAGTCATTTGTTACCAGAGAAAATATATAAGCTTCCGCGTTGGCCACGCCTCACGGGAGGCCCGTGAAGGCAGCATGCCAGCCAGTGACGCGGGATGGGGCGTGGTTATAGTGCTCTGTGCGTGTGTGTGTGTGCGTGTGTGTGTGTGTGTACGTGCGTGCGTGTGTGTCACTTGTAGCTTGACTTTTACAGCTAATAGCTGCACCTGAAGATAAACAACATCCTCCACACAGCACCACGACATATTTGATAAGAAGGTTTATCCTTGTCCACATCTGAATCTAAACTGACATGTATTTTTCAAGTTGAAGCGTGTTAAACTCAACCGAGTGTGAACCGGCTGTTCACCAGAGAAACAGGCCCTATTGTTCTTCTGCGCCCTAGTGAGGACTCTAAACAGTTGGCCATTCCTGAACATTTGTTATTCAAATTCTGGCTTGTCTGGTGCTGGGACGCTGACCAAAGGACAGGAGTCCCATTTAGACCAACATGCAGCTGACGGAGCTTCAGAAACACAGACACTCCCAGCAGCCACCACATAGTTAAAACATCTTTGGTGCAAGATTCTGGAGCCAAAATTGTAGGTGTCTTTTTTTAAGTGGCATGTTATCTTATGAATCTAACCACCATGTGAATTACTAAGTGCAATGTTTGAAGTTCACTGTGGGAAATACTATTACTCTATTTTTGTGTATTGCGGTTTTAATGCTTTGTCGCCTTGATGTAACTTTTTTATTTTAAGACTAAGTGTTCTGTCTAGCTTTTGATTCCTTACCTGACTCCAAAGGAGAGCTGCACAAGAATTCCTACATGCCTAGACCGTCTGTTTATGCATAAATGGCAAATAAAAATCTTGAATCTTGAATATTAACAGCATCCAAAGTATAAAGATGGTCCCTATAAGTCCAGCACAACAGTCTGCTGAAGTCACACAGATATTTTGCTCCCAATTCAGACACTAGGTAAAATATGAGGGAAAGGCTGAGTCACACCCTTTGTGTCTGTGATAAAATTTTAACACATTCTGCTTCTTAGCCTCTCTAGCTTTACTTGAAATGTTGCTTTCCAAAGCAATTGCACGATAAAAGCAGCTTTTTCCACTGCAGTTTTATTCTTTCTGATTCTGCAACACATGGAACATAAATTACATCCCTGCTTTGTTGCTTCTGACAAGACCTTTTGTTCACCTTTTAAACGTTTGCAAAGAAAGGGTTTTAAAAGCAAGTGTAAGAAATGAGGCAGAGGGGTTTTGTCTCTATGGTTTTCATTCTTCTTCAACTTTCTTTCTGCCAGGCTTGCATGGCATTTGTCTCACCTTGGAAACTCTTTTTGGTCCTTTGGACTTGTGAACAATGTCAGTTGTTAAAATGGCAAGTGAAATGATAACATTCTCTACTACTTGTGTTTAGAAATCACCCCACAACTCCAACTCATCTTTGACCCCTTGCCATCCAATATTGAAGTCCAGTGGGATTAAATCCAGTCTCCTCAGATAAGATCACTTCCTCACCACAGTGCCCACAAACCCATAAATAAAAGCCACATCATCCTTGGTTTTCCCGCTGATTGTTTTGACTTGCTGGGGGAACTGAGCAGCCACAGATGGCTGGTAAAATTACAGGGCTGCTATATATAGTTTCAGTGGTACTGGATGAAGACAAGTTCAGCATCTCAGTGACTGTCCCACAACTGTCCATGTGCATAAACTATATCTTTTTGTCATTTAATGTAAGCCAGAGTCATTCAGAGATAGCAGCCTGATTATATCTGACCAGTTTTTATATAAACAACCCTCTGTTTCATAAAATCACAGACATCTCTACTTTGTACAGTACTACTTATTGTTAGTAGAAACTAAATATTCACTGGGGACCCTTTAGGTTTATATTTCCACTATGAGCTCAGTAAACCCATGGGACCTCCAAAATTCTGTTGACTACTTTGAGTTATTTCCATATCATGATGTAATTATTAGCATTAAGAGGTAGAAAGATTGCATGACCTAAAAATGCCTATAAAAAGGTCCTTTGTGTTGGGATAAATGGCCATTTTCCAAATCAATGCAGCCTCTTTTTGTCTGAGGCCTATCCTGTAGCTACCTTGGTGGGACATTCAGTGGGAGGTCCAGCAGACAAAAAGAAGACACTGGAGTCATTGGTGTACTTTGAACAGTTTGTTGTGCCCTCTCATCAGGCTCTTTCACATTTAAATATTGTCAATGTGTGAGCCATTGCAGAGGTGGTGTGCATAATTTGATTCATTTATCTCTGTATTCACAGGACATTCTCACCATGTCAGAGTGTGTTGACCTTTGATTTTGTTTGTGGATATATCAGTAGCAAAACATTTGCTTTAATTTCTTAGCTAAACAAACAGGCATGGCTCTCTAAGGTGAAGAGGTTTTTGCTGCAGAGGGGAAAGGCCTGGGTTCCACTATCTCCCAGAACCTGAAGTGGACATCCAACATCAGGACCTTTATCAAGAAGGCACAGCAGAGAATGGACTTCCTGTTCCAGCTCATGAAGTTCAACCTGCCCCAGAAGCTGCGGATACAGTTTTACAGAGGAATCATCACGTCTGTTCCATCCCTGTCTGGCTTGGCTCAGAAACCAAGAAGGACAGGAACAGACTCCAGCAGGACAGTCAGGACTGCAGAAAGAACAATCGGAGCCAGCCTGCCCTCCAATGAGTACCTGTACACCTCACAGGTCAAAAGGAGGGCAGAGAAGATTTCTGCTGACCCCTCACATCTTGGACACAATCTGTTTGAGCTCCTTCCCTCTGGACGGTGCTACAGGTCACTGTGCACCAAGACAACCAGACAAAAGGACAGTTTCTTCCCCTCAACCATCACTCTGATGATATATATATTTATAAAGTACTTCATTTTTATTTTTATTTGGCACATTCTTTTTTCTTTTTGTTCTCAGTCTTATCTTGTTTACTTGTCTGCTCGTTGCCTTATGGAGGAACATTGTACATACACATTGAGAGCCACTGTACCGGAATCATTCCCTGTGGGTCCAACACACCTGTCCCATAAAGCTGATTGTGATTCTGATAACTGTTCAGATGTGCCCGTCGTCCCCTTCTCCTGCCTGCCCTACTTCCACCCCGTCAGCCTAATGCTTCCTGGCACTCTCTCTTTGTGTAGGCACTCTTTATTCTGAAAACTTCAAATGACACATTGACAGAATAAATTGGGACAACTATTCTAGTCCTTACAGCCTGACAACTGTGGCTCCTAGCAGAGAAATTGCATTGGACAGCCTAAATTATGAATAATGGGGGAGACTGGCATAATTTATTAGTTGTGTCTTTTCTCACTATGTTACACTGTGGGCTTTATGTTATGAAACATGAAGAGGGTACAATGATATCATCTGTGTGTGTAATGTGGTGGAAGAATAGAGCTGTGGGATCTGATACCATAAAAAAAGATAAAACTAGACAAATGCATTTCCTGAAGAAAATGTGTGTGGATGCTGATTGCTGAAGAATTGCCCTGAAAATGCTGAAATGGCTGAAATCCATAGCTTGGTGGTTAATGCCACTGACTTTGGTATGACTTCATCATGCCTTTTTCTGTGTTGTGATCTGCCGCTATATAAAAAATAAAATTAACTTCACCTTCAAGGGGGAGCAGGACACTAATATTGCCCCAATATTGCTGCAAATAAGATACAAAACACTGACACAGTGACATTCATTTATCTTTCTCCCAGAGCCTCCAGTCCTACTGTGAGTGCTGGTGTTAGGGCCCTTCATGTACACCAGAGGCCCTCAACTCCATTACTGGATGGACATGGTCAACACTCCACAGGAGCCGGTGAAGCTGTGGCATGGATTGGGCAGATACATTTAAGCAACCAAACATGAACAAATCCACAAACACACATGTGCATGTACATACACACAGATTCAGAAATAGAATAAAAGTGCTAAAAATGTGTTCATTTGTAAAACGCCTTGAGGCGATTTCCATCTCCTAATAAAAGCATGTCTAGATGAAAGGTGTGTTTGTAATTGCATGTGATTTTTACTTTCATTCTAAATAGAATAAATGAATGTATTAACATTATGGCATTCTCATAATACAGACATTGAAAAATCTACCGTTTCCCCTTAATACATCCGTGGGCAGAATGGTCTCCATCATGCTGAAAGCTTTTTTCGGCTCTTTTAACCAGTGGAACTCAGAGAGACGAAGCGGACCACTTGGATATATAAAAAATAACCGTGCTGGTTTATTCAAAGGATCACAGGTAAAATTAACATTACACGTCCAGGTATCCTTCACCTCCAATACTGCGCGCAGGCAGATGAAGAATGAAAGACCCTGAACCACCAATGCCTATACATTATATCTGGTTTGGGCTAACCCCATTCTACCCAGGCACGTCAAACCGTGGCGTCACCTGATATGTCAGCTTTGCAGCTGGCTATCCTTATATGCACCCTGCTAAAAATCCATGAGAATGACTAAGCATTTAACAGCCTACCTAGACATCCTGTCTCCACTAAACATTTATAATACAACAAGTATATAACCAATTTCTATCTGACTAAAAAATACCTAACAATTGCGATTCGGTATCAAGCTGTTATAATATAGTAATGGGACGTACAAAGGTTGAATTTAGTTTATTGTTATAATCAGTCCTATTGGTGTTTGTGTCTGGTTTGGCACCATGAAGGTAAACAAGAACACTATTGGAGGGACACAAAGTTGTGTCGGTTTCTTATAATGCAAAGCACCTGCCAGGTAATGTTAATATTAATACCTGATCAGTCTTGTTACACACGCGAAGTTTCAGTTTTCTTTTATTTTCCTCTGCTGATATCTTTAGGGATGAGTGTTTGAATGTCATTTCTTTACTACTATTGTTAGATTTTACCCAAGTTCTTTTATTGAAAGCGTGAGAAGTGAAGACAGAAGAGGACTGTTTAAAATCAACAGGAAGTTTACTCAAAGTCTGGGCACAGGTGAAGTCTTACAGCACTGGGATCA